AAGCAGGCGAACGTTTCTAAAAACTCCTTCCAAAAAGCCAATATGCATTTCGAAATCATTTAAAATCGACATTTTTCTTTTATTTATTCCAAGTTCTCAGATTTTCATAGGGAAGTTCTTAAACAGTATTAAGAGGCGGAAATCAGTGATATCTTCAGCGCGAACAATACTTTCCTTTTATGTGTATGCCAAAGTATCGACCAGTAGCTTATTAAGTACATCGAGTGAGATTTAAAAAAAAAAAGAAAATCAATATTCAGCTATAATTCACAAACAAAAAATTAATTGATAGCGTGTTCACCACACACTTTCGTTTGTCTCTTCCGTTCGTATTGCTTCTTCTTGATCGCATACGATTGTCTTTTGTAATATTTTATTATCGATCTTCGTAAATCTTATTGATTTCTATTAAAAAAAAAAGCTGCAATAAGATGGCTTTTAAATACAAAATGGTTTAAATTTCTTCTTTATTTGGAAATAGCTTATCTTTATCGTGTCCAGAGTCTCGCATTTGTAAATATTTTCTTTAGAATTCTATATTTTACCAATGTCAAAGCCGTCATTATTTTAAATTTTATTTATTGGAATCTTTCAAAGATCGACCTAACAGAACGACTGATTTATTTGGGTACTTCATAAAAACTTCTTTTTTTTTTTTTAATTGCGTGTTATACAAAAGATTTTATTTTAATTTTGTGTTTACCCTGATTAATACAATATATTTTCGTATGGCTGTACGTTTATACAGATGTTATTTTAATCAAGCATTACAGGCTGGTGTTGTATCAAATCCCCATTAAAAATCATAATTATCGTAATTAAAATTACAAACTTACTGTAATTATCATAATTAAAATTATCAAACGACATATATTGACAGACATAACACAAACATACGTAAAAATCAAACTGGTTTTCTTTCTTTTGAAAAGACAAAATACAAAGATTATTTTATATTGTGGGTATTAGAGAGCGAAAAAAAAAAAAGACGAAACGTTTTTAAATGCGATTATTATAAAAAAACAGAGCGCTATTGCAAAATACAAACAGAGATTATTTTGAAGAGGTTCAACAACGGAAGATTTAAAGGAAGAAAAATAATTGGCGACAAACACAAAGACGAACAGAAAAGAAAAGTTGATAGACAGATAGATCCGAAGAAACGGAGACAGATATATAAATAAATAGATATTAACAGATTGTGATAGATAGATAGATAGATAGATAGATAGATAGATAGATAGATAGATAGACAGACAGACAGACAGACAGATATTAACAGATTGTGATAGATAGATAGATAGATAGATAGACAGACAGACAGATATTAACAGATTGTCATAGATAGATAGATAGATAGATATTAACAGCTTGTGATAGATAGATAGATAGATAGATAGATAGATAGATAGATAGATAGATATTAATCAGATTGTGATAGATAGATAGATAGATAGATAGATAGATATTATATTAACAGATTGTGATAGATAGATATTAACAAATTCTGATAGATAGCTCAGAACAAACTGAGATAGATATTAACAGAGTGTGATAGATAGATAGATAGATATTATATTAACAGATTGTGATAGATAGATATTAACAGATTCTGATAGATAGCTCAGAACAAACTGAGATAGATATTAACAGATTGTGATAGATAGATAGATAGATAGATAGATAGATAGATAGATAGATAGATAGATAGATAGATAGATATTAACAGATTCTGATAGCCAGATAGATAGATAAATAGATATTAACAGACTGATAGCCGGATAGATAGATGGTAACAGACTGTGATAGATAGATAGTGACAGACCTTGATAGATAGATAGATAGATAGATAGATAGATAGATAGATAGATAGATAGATAGATAGATAGATTCTTTCTGCTTCTCAGTATTATAAAGAAAAGGAAAGCTCTGTTCTCAATTCTCAAACAACGAAACCATATAAACATTATGAAGGTGAAAGACGATGTTAAAATGTGGATTTTTATTATTTGACTCGTTTTATATTTGAAAAATAATTCTTAAATTTAAACAAAATATATCTTAAAATTACACAGTGAAGTTGAATTTACTTAATTTGAAAGTCCATTCATTGAAATCTATAACAGTGTCAACGTAAATCTTCATATTTTTAATCTAAATTTTTCTTTTTCACACACACACACATATATATATATATATATATATATATATATATATATATATATATATAGTTTTTTCACATTTTTTATCTAAAATTTAGCTAAAACTCTTTTTATATATATATATATATATATATATATAATTCTTCATACTTTAATCTAAAATTTTGAAAAACCCTCTCTCGCTCACTCTCTCTCTCTCTCTCTCTCTCTCTCTCTATATATATATATATATATATATATATATATGATGCACTATCTGGTTGATTTCGACTGATGAGGATCCGACAAACTGATCCAGTTTTTATATTTTGTCGTATGTGACACATCAGTCCTGCTAGTGACCTGCATACGAGCCCACATATTGTGCCACAGTGAGGATCTCGTGACATAGCCACAGGAATATTTGCTGACGTTCTTCGCCGTTGTCTTTCGTTTCTTAACCGGACTTTGAAAACGATTTCGAAATTTCTAACACCACTCTGGCACAGATATCTACAGTTTTTTCTAACCGGGGCAACTCCCTTGAAGTTACTATGAGGCACATTAACAGCTTAGAGGTTACATTTTAGCTTGCCTTTATACCAGAGCTACGGCCGTCTAACTTTGTCCACTGTCAAGCTGGCTATAGATGAGGTCCTTAATTATTCTGTCATCGCTCATATTTGCAACATGACCAGCCCAGCAAAGATGTGACTGCACCAGCAAAGTGTCAACTCCAATAAAATATAGAGAGAGTATAGACATAAGAATCAATACTGCATGGTGACAGTTTTACGCTTCAGTGTGATCTTCAGGCCAACGCTTTATATATAGTCTATTTCCAACATTGAATATTCTTCCCATATAAATATAACAAATAATAATATTAATTGATTATCAATAGTAACAATTTTACAAAGCGATACTAGTGTATTTATCTTGGTTGATAAAGTCACGTTTCGACGTCTTACACTTCTGCCTTCTTCAGTTGTCGGCGCTAGATATAAATTTATAAGGAATCTCAAAGTGAACTCTTTATTCAATCCACGGCGCTAAATAGTTCTTATTTCACTGCCCATGCTTAGGGGAGATAACTTGCGTTTTACTAGTTATTGTCTTTACTAGTTAATTCAACCTAGTAACATCGCACGTCTGTTCGATTGAACAAGAGGAGTTTAGGTGCTTTTTTTTGTCTTTTGCGCTACATGACCAACGAGTAATAAATCCGTTCAGTCAAAAGTCTAACTATCCAATGATCTGTGTGTCGTAGATGGACGAGAATTATACGTAATCTATTGCCAGATTAGTGTTTTCAAATCTGCGAATTATAATGTCATTTAAATGGATTTAATCATCTAATAACAATAGAGACTAGAGTTAAATAATAATAATAAATAATAACAATAAATAATAATAATAATATTAAAAATAATAAAAAATAAATAATAATAATAATAATATTAATAATAATAATATAACCTAGATGACGGCAATGTTAAAGGCGAAATAAATGCAATGCAATTTCAGATATTCAGCAAAATATATCTGGTGTGTACAGGAGGCTGTAAATAATTGCCTGACAAGAGCAGTTATGGTCAAAATCTAAATCTGTACTTTGAGTAGAAAAGAAAGAAGATATTTATTGTTTATAACAGTTATTTTTACCTTCTTTATTTAAAGAGCTCACTTAAAAAAAAAACAGAGAAAAGACAAAATATGCAAGATTGGTATGTAAAATTGTTGCCTACTTCAAATTAAAAAAATAATGTTTATTTATTTTAACCAGTAAGTAATTAACACAACTGCAACGAAAATAAATACTGCTATTTTCTTTTCAAAAAAAAAAAAGAAGCCATTCTTTGAGTTTTTTTTTTCAATCCGATGCTTCCTTGATCACTTTTACGAGGAATTAGATAGGTTTGCCTATCTCCCTGTTCACACTCCTCCTTGGTCTTTTGAGCAGTTGTAGATGTTTATCCCTTGTTTCTTGTCTAGGATTAGTTTTCCGGTTCCTTCTAAAGTCTACCTCAACTTTTTACTTCTAAAGTCTAGGTCTGAACTCTGAAATTTTGTTTACGATTTATTTTTCTTCAACAGGAGTAGATAGGTTCGCCTAGCGTCCGGTTCATACACCTCCTCGGCTTTTTGAGCAGGTGGAGGGGGGTTTCTGGTTACTTTTGAAGTCTACTTCAATTTTATACTTCTAACGTCTTTGCCAAAACACTGAAATTTTATTTATTTGTTTTTCTTCAACAGGAGTAAATAGGTTTGCCTAGCGTCCGGTTCACACTCCTCCCTGGTCTTTTGAACAAGTGTAGGAGTTTATTCCTTGAGCATCGTTTAGGATTTTCTTTCCGGTTTCTTTTAAAGTCTACCTCAATTTTATTCTTCTAACGTCTCCGTCTGAACTCTTGAATTTTTCTTAATAATTACTTTTTTTTCTTCTCAATAGGAGTTCGCCTATAGTACGGTTCACACTCCTCCCCGGGGTTTTGAACACAAGTAGACGTTTATCATTTGTTCTCTGTTTAGAATTGGTTTTCGGGTTCATGCTAAAATTTTATCATTCTCATTTATTCCAAATGGCACCTTGCATCTTAGTGGCATTATCGCCTTGCTTAGGGTGAATTGATTAAAAAAGAATTTAGAGTTAACTATTATCGTCCCCTATATATCTCCATGAACAGTGCCTCTTATTGTATAATTCTCTACCTCGAGTTGCTCTTGGGCCTTGTACATGGTGATAATTATTGCAAAAAAGACTAAAAAAACATTTCATTTTTATCTTGAAGGCACTGGGAATTTTGAAAGGGAATTGGATCGCCGTTAGGATGTTGAAATCTTAACAAATTGGCACAAATGACGAAACGTTAGCGACAGATTTCTTTTAAACATCAACAGTTGATCTTTCAAGAAGCACACTTAAATAAATTGAGGTTTTCTTTCCAAACATTTTTCTGTTGTAAAGAAAAATTGACCTTCTAACTAACCATTAAATCCAGTGGCTCATACACACAAATGTATCAATAATTTAAATATCTATCTATCTATCTATCTATCTATCTATCTATCTATCTATCTATCTATCTATCTCAAACTGTTCATATCTATCTATATCTACCTCAGTTTGTTCATATCTATCTATCTATCTATCTTACTCTATTCATCTTTCTCATTCTATATCTATCTATCTATCTATCTATCTATCTATCTATCTATCTATCTATCTATCTATCTATCTCTGTCTGGAAATATTGCAATTTAATCTGACATTTGAGGACACTTAGTGTGAAATAACGGTTAGCAAGATAATCTTATTGACGATTAGTACTGAGTAGTGAGTTTGATTCTTACTAACTGCTCTATACTTTTGGCCTTGTGTCAAACTAAGCTAAGTTTAGAAATTTACAACGTATGGAATTTGAATATAGTTTGTAAAATTTTTTAAAAATGGATCAAGAGAGAAAGAATGCTTTAGAAATTAAGTGACATGCATTGGTAAAGATTAATTCATTTTCCGTTTTATACATGTCATCTTGTATCGTTTGATTTCAAAATAGAAAAAATTAGATTCATGGAACTTGGGAAAAAAAAAAAAAATAAAATTTTTAAAAGTTTTTTAATTTTTAGATATATTGCATTAACGAAAACGCTATTTAGTGTTAAACGAATTTAATAAGTGAATTAATAAAAATAAAAAAATTTTTAAAAAAAGACATTATATCTATTAATTTTTCAACGATATACTTCGCCGTTTATTTACTCATAGTGCGCACGCGCACACACGGACGCGCGCACACACACATACACACACACACGCACGTACACACACGCAAACACACACACACATAGACATACACACGCACGCACGCACACACACACACATTGACACACACATTGACACCCCCCCCACACACACAAAATTCACCGACTTCCAAAATAAACAAACTAGGCTTATTTTTAAACGTGGTTATGAGATATCGATAAATTTATTCTCTCTCTCTCTCACCCTCCCCCTCTCTCTCACTCTCTCTCTCTATAGCATATATATATATATATAGAGAGAGAGAGAGAGAATAGAATTCTCGAAGGAATAGAGAATTACGCTTGGTAAAGTAAGTGTGTTTTGAAAAAAAAATTCACTTTATCTGTTTTACATTTGGATACATATATATATTTATATATAATTATGCTTACATGCTAATGTTTTATACATAGTGTATAAAGAAAACAAAATTATCTATCACTCTAACTACGTACTTCTGACTTAAAATATAAAAGTCTAATTAAATAATACTCTTTCTATACTTTCCTCTCTCTCTCACACACAAACTCTCTCTCCTTCTCCCTCTCTCTTTATATATATATATATATATATATATATATATATATATACTTTAAGCATACTCATCGCACATATTCAACTAAAAGTCAAATTATATAGCCTCATCTTTTTTCTCTGTCTGTCTGTCTGTCTGTCTGTCTGTCTGTCTCTCTCTCTCTCTCTCTATATATATATATATATATATATATATATGTATATATATATATCGACAGTTTGATAGATACACATATATGTATATTGTTTTTTACGTTTAATTTTTAATTAAAATGCTATACGTTCATCAAAGCTAACTTGCAAATACACATACACACACACCTACACACTCATACACACGCATACAGACACACACGTACACACTCATACAGACACACACCTACACACTCATACACACGCATACAGACACACACACACTCAAACGGACGTACGCGTATAATTAAAGTAAAATCAGTCGCATTTAAAGTCAGTTTCTTGAGTTAAAATTCTACATACGAAACATCATCAAATTGCTACACCCCTCCCCCTCTCTCTCTCATATATATATATATATATATATATATATATATATATATATATATATATCCAACAATCAAGCGATATATTTTATCAACGGCAAAATATCTGAGTCCATTCATTGTGATTAAGTGTCCCCGTTGTTTGCGTGCAAGAAATCAAATGGAGTACCCAAGTTGGTCGTTCATAAAAGCCAAACATTTACTGGAACTCTCTTTGGAAACCTCCTTGATTTTCTTTGTAGCCATTCCTGTCGTCTGGTCGCCAACAGAAATCCATAATGATGATATATGTACATCATAATCTGATCAGATCAAACAAAAATAGCCCTTGACTTATTTCTTTAAATGAACATTGCCAACACACACAAAAAAAAAATGCATAAATCTCTGTATTTAATAATAATAAATTTACACGAACAGGAAAATATCTGAAAAAAAAAAAGAAATCTATCAAAATGAACCAAAAATAAACTGCCAAAACGAATATGAATATTTTCAGTTGAAAAATCTTTTTTAATTTATTTCACCAGTGAGACGAGAAAGTCACTAGTTAAATAAAAATATCGCTTGTTCACAGATTGATTGCAACGATGTTTTCCATTGGATATTCTGCTCAACCAATAAGCTTCTAGCTTACTTTTATTAAATATATTGGAAAAAAAAAAAAAAAAAAAAAGACGTGAAAAACTATTATAATTTAATTAAGTTCCAACCGAATATTTCTTTTAACGTACGATAGAAAATAAAAACCGTACACGATGAGTTGATATATGAATTAATATAAAATTGCTTTTTTTTTTAGAGTGTTACTTTTCGGTTTGCGCAGCCTCGTGAAAAAAGACACTCTTTTGAAAAGGACCGTATCGAAGTTGATAATAACAAAACAAGATCAAAAGGGATAAAAGAAAAGTCTTGTTCGTGCTTTTCTCTTCGGCTTAATTACAACAACAAAAAAAAATTGAAAAAGAAAATTTGTATAAAAAAACGTCATGGTCGACTGCAATAAATTATACACCAGCAAGCAATATATTGTCAATATAAAAATGTGTTTCTCGGGGATATATTTAAATTTTCAAATTAAATAATAATAATAATAATAATAATAATAATAATAAGAAGAAGAAGAAGAAGAAGAAGGAAGAAAGAAAAAATAATATAACCAAAAAAAAAAAGCCAAATTTGTAAAGATTTTCGAACCCGAATAAATAGACCTCGTCAATTGAACTACCGTTATCAAAAAGACATTTTTAATCGCATAAGATGAAAATGCATCTCAGACTTTTAAATCTGACGCATAATGTAAAAGTCGACTACGACTTTGGAAATGCAAGTGATGCACAAAACACGACCTCCAGTACGCCCGTCGAATACTCAGCAGGGGTCCTTTTTATCGTTCGGGCCATTGCCATGGTCACAATAATGGTAACCGCCGTATTTGGGAATCTACTGGTCATTATTAGCGTCTACAAGTTTCACCGTTTGCGAGTGCTGACCAATTACTTCATCGTATCTCTGGCCTTTGCTGACCTCCTAGTTGCTTGTATGGTAATGCCGTTCAGCGCTGGCATTGAGATAATGAATGGTCAATGGTTCTTTGGACAGTTAATGTGCGACATCTTCAACGCAAATGACGTCCTCTTCAGCACAGCCTCTATCTTGCATCTCTGTTGTATCAGTATGGATCGGTATCTTGCCATCATGTACCCACTAAAGTATGACTCGCACATGACCAAAGTCCGTGTCATGGTAATGCTTGTTCTTACATGGGTTTCATCCGTATGTATCTCGTACATTCCAGTTCACTCTCAGCTATACACAACCGATGAGCACATCCGTAACCTACATAACGAAACGAATACATGTCCTTTCGTCGTAAATACACAGTACGCCGTGGTATCATCTTTTATTTCCTTCTGGATCCCAGGAGCTATCATGGTGTTCCTGTACATCAAGATTTACTTAGAGGCGAGGCGTCAAGAACACGCGATACAGTCGACCGTTATGCTGCATACAAATTATCACAGCGGTCTTTTAGCCAACGGCACCCGTTACACGGACCCTTCGGAGCAACGAAACGAAAGAAAACGAATCAGACGCGAACACAAGGCGGCAAAAACTCTTGGAATCATTATGGGGGCATTCCTTGCCTGTTTTGTGCCATTCTTTACTTGGTATGTGATTACAAACATTTGTAAATCGGCCTGTCCCTACCCAAAAGTTCTTGGTTCAATCCTATTCTGGATTGGTTATTTTAACTCATGTTTGAACCCTATCATTTACGCTTACTTCAATAAGGATTTTCGCAATGCATTCATTAAATTACTGAGGCTGGAAAATTGTAGATGTCTCCAGCGCGATCAGGACTCAGTGCATTTAAATTATGTGACCAATCTCTCAGACTATAAGGATTCGACTACGCTTCATATTGTCGACAGTAGAAGGCATGTTGTTTGATCTTGTCACCCTGAGAAACTATGGAACTCCAAAAGACAAAATATTTAAAAAAAAAAAAAAAATTAAAATTTGGACGTCAGGACAATAAATACTTTTGTCCGGATTGATACTTTTAATTGATTCTTACATTCATCCGTATATGAATTTTGTGTGATTGTCTTGTTCGACTGATACCAAGGATTGTATTAATAATAACATGAATTCCAAAAGACATTCATATTGTCCGTCTTTTTTTTTAATTTCTTTCTTTCAGTTTTTAATGCTGTGATTTAAATTGATTTCTGAATTGTATTATATATATATATATATATATATATATATATATATATATATATATATATATATATATATATATATATATATATATAAGTTTTTCGTGGTACAGAATTTAATAATACATAGGAAAAGACAATATTTATAAAGCATTTTTTTTAAAAGCAAAAGCTAAAATAAAAACAACCGGTTTCGTCCCAGGACTTATCAAGTTTATTTATTCTGAGAATTTAAAAAAGCGTGTAAATTAAATTAATTTTTAATTAACGAATGTAATCGAATGGAGAAAAAAATTATGAATTTCAAGAAACTAGAGTCCAATAATATTCAGACCCAGTAAGCATTCCCTCTGTTTACAAAGGGAAGGCTCACGGGTTCTGATATACAACGACTCTAGAACCTTGAGGTGAAATGTGGAGTGGGACCTAGATAAAATTATAAATCGGTGACCACTAAAATTTTCCACACATTTCCTTCTATTTATTAAATGTTCAGCAATAGCAGAACCAGAACTGTTAGTCAGTTAGCTATTCCTGGTGGACGGATTCAAAATCCTTGGGGGTAAATGCTGTTTTATTCTCGAATCCAAACGTTGGGACGTCCTCCCTATGTAGTCGTGTCCACAACTACACTTGTATTGGTAAATCATTGAATTAACATATATATATGTGTGTGTGTGTGTATGTTTGCATATATATATATATATACATATATATATATATATGTGTATGTGTTTGCATATATATATATACATATATATATATATGTGTGTGTGGGTAGTGGGGTGTGTGTGTTTTGCATATATATATATATATATATATATATATATATATATAGATATATATATATATATATAGCGTATTCATTAGTGTTTTAGATGTGATTATTTATTATAAAGATCGAGGTTTATTAGACGGCGGTTACGTTTGATTTGGCTTTGTATAATTTCATTTATATATAATACGCAGTGTATTTGATTATCAATAACAGTCAGTTCACAGCAATCTATCTATCTCTGTTCATATCTATCTATCTATCTATCTATCTATCTATCTATCTATCTATCTCAGTCTCTTAATATCTATCTATCTATCTATCTATCTATCTATCTATCTATCTATCTATCTATCTCAGTTCATATCTATCTATATATATATATATATATCTCAGTTCATATCTATCTATCTATCTATCTATCTATCTATCTATCTATCTATCTATCTATCTCAGTCTCTTAATATCTATATATATATATATATATATATATATATATATATATATATATCAGTTCATATCTATCTATCTATCTATCTATCTATCTATCTATCTATCTCAGTTCATATCTATCTATCTATCTATCTATCTCAGTTCATTATCTGTCTATCTATCTATCTATCTATCTATCTATCTATCTATCTATCTCAGTTCATATCTATCTATCTATCTATCTATCTATCTATCTTATTCTGGTCACATATCAATTTCTCGCTCTCTTCTCCTTTCTCCGCTATAAAACAAACGCTGAGCACCTGATTTTTGATAATCTTTCCTAATTAAGAAAAAAAAAAAAAACAATCACTTGTTTTGTTTCCGGTGTTTATTTTCATCGTCTTTCGACAAAGAAAATCTGATGAAGATGATATAAATAAATCATTAACAAAATAATTGACAGCCCTCAGGTACCAGCAAACATGGTTATCCACGCTTTGTTCTTTTCATGAGTACATGGATAAAATCTGTATGGGGCCATCTCTTTCAAGGTATGTGATTTTTCATTCGTTTCTTTTATTTTACATATAAGGCTTTCATTATTATTATTATTATTATTATTATTATTATTATTTTTATTTTCTTTGATTTCTGGCGTTTACACATTTCTTTCCGGGTCCCGCCCAGGGACCTAAGGTTAGAAATGGCGTCATGACACTTTCCACTGACAAGAGAAAAAAAAAATTAAATTACATAGATAAAGTCTATCGTAAGGTGTGGGCTGTACTTGTCAGAACAATTTTTTGTATCTCCTTGAGGCATGGACTTACAGGAATCCCTTCAATTAATCTACTGGAATCTTTTCCAACCAGTCCTAGGACTCCAACTACAACAGGGATTGTTGATGTTCCCACATGCCACATTTTCGAGATTTCTATTTCAAGGTCCTTGTACTTTGACAACTTTTTGAATATCTTCAAAGATACATTGCAGTATTATTATTATTGTTGTTGTTGTTTTTATTTGGTGGGGGTAGAACGCGATGGGCCAAAAGTATGACTCTTGAGTACAAATAGAGTAAGCCTAGTGATGGTATTCAGTCTGATAAGCGCCCACCAGACCCATACACAACGAAACTAATACATGACCTTTCGTTGTAAACACTCAGTACGCTGTGATATCCTTTTATTTCTATTTGGATCTTATAGGCTATCATTGTCTTCCTGTGCATCAAAATTTACTGAGAGGCGCGTCGTCAAGAACGCGTAAAGCTATCGACTGTTATGTTGCATACTAATTATCAGGTTTGTATAGCAGACACACGCATCACAGCCAAATGTGTGCAGTTGGTGACAGGTTTTCAAGAAAGCAGCACATAATCGTTTCAAGTTGAGCCCAGTTAGAAATCTCTTCACGTCGCTTTATCCTGTCTGTCCAAACGGTCCCATATGTCGAGACTTGGCGTTCAAATACAGCCCCCTCCTCGACACACACGCATCTCCAACTACTCCCGCTCATGAACAGAGATACACTGGACGCCAATCACTAGGATACATAATCACCTGTTTATGGTCGGAAAAAAACCGACAAGCAAATCTGTGGTATCAGACTTCGTATTTACTGCAAGCCATCTTAATTCATCAAAGCGAATCGTACACGTTATTGTTTACATATCCAATAACTATTTATATTATTCGGACTAATGTCCTCATCATTGTCGCCATATTTATTACAACGTTTCGGCCGTTGTACCATCCAGCCTTCTTCAGGTGGTTGGAATGTCGAACTGAACCCTTTATTTCGCTCATTGGGGTAGACTGTTTTGTTCCATGTGCCATGTTTCTGATGGATGTCAGTTGTCAGTTGTCAGTTATCTCCTGTTAATTCCCCTCTCAAGTTCTGGACTGTCATAACTGGGTATTGAACTCAGACTCTTTGGGTCCTGTCACATGGATCTAACTAACGCCTTTAGCCATGTGTCCTTGAGGACATTCTAACCACCTGAAGAAGGCCGCAACGTACAACGGCCGAAACGTTGTAATAAATATGGCGATAAAAATGAGGACAATAGTCTAATTAATGTAAATAGTGTACATGATACCTCATCTCAGAAATGTAGACAGATACTGAAAGGCCGAAACGTTGTAATAAATATGGCGACAAAGATGAGGACAATAGTCCGAATAATGTAAATAGTGTACATAATACATCATCTCAGAAATATAGACAGATACTGAAAGCACGAAACGTTGTAATAAATATGGCAAGAAAGATGAGGACAATAGTCTGAATAATCTAAATAGTGTACATAATACCTCATCTCAGAAATATAGACAGATACTGAAAGCACGAAACGTTCTAATAAATATGATGACAAAGATGAGGACAATAGTCTGGATAATGTATATAGTGTACATAATACCTCATCTCAGAAATATAGACAGATACTAAAGGGCTGAAACGTTGTAATAAATATGGCGACAAAGATGAGGACAATAGTCCGAATAATGTAAATAGTGTGCATAATACCTCATCTCAGAAATATAGATAGAAACAGAAGGGCCGAAATGTTGTAATAAATATGGCGACAAAGATGAGGACAATATTCCGAATAATGTAAATAATGTACATAATGCCTCATCTCAGAAATATAGACAGGTACTGAAGGGCCGGAACATTGTAATAAATATGGTGACAAAGATGAGAACAATAGTCCGAATAATGTAAATAGTGTACATAATACCTCATCTCAGACATATAGACAGATACTGAAAGGCCGAAACGTTGTAATAAATATGGCGACAAAGATGAGGACAATTGTCCGAATAATGTAAATAGTGTACATAATACCTCATCTCAGAAATATAGACAGATACTTGAAGGCCGAAATGTTGTGATAAATATGGCGACAAAGATGAGGACAATTGTCCGAATAATGTAAATAATGTACATAATACCTCATCTCAGAAATATAGACAGGTACTGAAGGGCCGGAACGTTGTAATAAATATCGCGACAAAGATGAGGACAATAGTCCGAATAATGTAAATAGTGTACATAATACCTCATCTCACAAATATAGACAGATACAGAAGGGCCGAAATGTTGTAATATATATGGCGACAAAGATGAGGACAATATTCCGAATAATGTAAATAATGTACATAATGCCTCATCTCAGAAATATAGACAGATACTGAAGGGCCGGAACGTTGTAATAAATATGGCGACAAAGATGAGGACAATAGTCCGAATAATGTAAATAGTGTACATAATACCTCATCTCAGAAATATAGACAGATACTGGAAGGCCGAAACGTTGTAATAAATATGGCGATAAAGATGGGGACAATAGTCCGAATAATGTAAATAGTGTACATAATACCTCATCTCAGAAATATAGACAGATATCCCATCAATTGCAATTAGTCTTAATTATTGAATTTGCGTCAAATAAAAAGTTTTAAAATACTGTTATAAATACATTTCTTTCGGGGGCCCAGTCAGAAAACTAAAGAAAGATAAAATGTACAAATTCACTGAAATTTTACACAACGTCATAGAAAAGGAGAGAATTACTTTGATGTCTAAATATCGAAGCTATGAACTAAACAATTTCTTTAAGAACAAACTTGAAAGCTTTTGCACCATTCTAATGAAAGATAAAATGTACAAATTCACTGAAATTTTACATGACGTCATAGAAAAGCAGGGGAATACTTTCATGTGTAAGTAATGAGGCTATGAATATATATAGCTAAAGATTTTATTAATAATATTATTTAAAAATACATAATCTTTCCGTGAGCGGCTATATGGTCAATGCCAGGGAAAATACATGTTTGAATAAAGACGGTATGAAGAAACGGTTTTGTCTCGGACTTGTAATTCTTGCATCAGCTTGATGGTTACCATATAAATAATCAGTAGTTTTTACACAATTCATTATTTTTACCAGGTATTTTTATCCCGGCGTAGTTTTCTGTTTAAGCATAGAGCTTTCATCACCCCGGGAAATGCCTAGTCTGTGTGAGGGGACTGGGTTGATTAATCGGTGCCTGAGGCGTCTCCATAACGGGAAGTGTTGCGAGGGCTTGAGCAAATTTTTGAAAACGTTTCCGAAATCCTATATTAATACTACTTAGACCTTGTGTCACTTTCTGTTGCGTCTTGGCCCAAGGATAACTGCCTACACAATATATTATTGTTTTTTTTTTTTTTGCAGATCGATTTTTTGGAATTTAAAACTGAATATTTTTCTCAAAGATAAAAAATAAATGGGCCGAAATTCTTCACTGTCTTCCATCTTTGTTTTTTTCCAGATTCTCTTAATACAAGGTCTTCAGGGTGTATTGCAAGAAAGGCGCCAATTTCTTATGCACCATTTTAAAACTATTTTATTTCTAGGTTTGACCAAGGATGCTGTTTCCTAAAGATAAGGAATTTTCATGTTTAGAGATGAACAAAACATCAGAAACGATTTACATTAACGTGACAAATGTCCGGCATTGCTAATGATAACGATAACATTATATGGAAAATATTCCACATTCATTGACAGAGCAGCCATTTTTCAAAACACGGTCAAGATATTGTGTCCTTGTTCAAAGTTAATATTATTAAGAGGTTGTTTGTTTTTTTCATACATACAACAAATTCTGTCTATATTTCTGAGATGGGGTATTATGTACATCATTTACATTATTCGGACTATTGTCCTCATCTTTGTCGCCATATTTATCACAACGTTTCGGCTGTTGTATACTCCGGACTTCTTCAGGTGGTTGGAATGTCGAACTGAACCTTTTATTTCGCTCACTGGGGTAGACTGTTCTAGTTCCACATGCCATGTTTAATAGATGTCAGTTATCAGTTATCTCCTGTTAATTTCCCCTCTGAAAGTTCTCCACTGCCTTAACCGGGTATTGAACTCACACTCTTTGGGTCCTGTCACTGGATCTAACCAACGCCTTTAGAACACATGACACAGTGGATAAAGGCGTTGGTTAGATCCAGTGACAGGACCCAAAGAGTGTGAGTTCAATACCCGGTTAAGGCAGTTAAAGATGAGGACAATAGTTCGAATGATGTAAATAATGTATACAACAAATTATTTCTTATTTCTTATTTAACAGTTAAAATATAATCCTTGAAAATGGCTAAATGTATAGCCGAAAGCGCTCAGATAAAAGAATATTCGGACAGTTTTTATATAATTTATCACCCAAAAGAAAAACATTATTAGATCGCATGAGAAATTGTATAAAAACCTAAATAAAATCACCTTGTCTCTCGTTTTCTATG